GTTCGGCCATCGACAAATCCAAATTTGTCAACATCATTGAGTGAGATGCAGACAACAGCTGGATGGAGCCATATATTGACTACCTGAAGAACAACATCCTTCCAGCCGACAAATGAGAAGCAAGGGCACTCCTATCCAAGGTAACAAAGTTTTTACTGATTGATGGTGTTTTGTTTAAGCGTTTATTTGCAGGTCCGTATCAAAGATGTTTGACTTCACACGAGGCCAACAACGTTCTCAAAAGTCTCCACGAAGGGGAATGCGGTAACCATGCTGCTGGCAGGAGTTTGTCCAAGAAAGCACTAAGATTTGGTTATTATTGGCCAACTATGAAACAAGATTCTATCGCTTACACTCGAGCGTGTCTACCTTGTCAAAGACACGCACCCATCCACCACCAACATCCAGAAGCACTCCATCCAGTGTTGTCACCGTGGCCATTCATGAAGTGGGGAATGGACATCGTCAGAAAATTGCCCGAAGCTCCCGGCCAGAAAGTCTACATGCTAGCGATGACCGACTATTTCTCAAAATGGATCGAGGCGGAACCCTTCCGGAAAATCCAAGATGTCCATGTCATATACTTCATCAAAAGGAACACCCTGAGCCGATTTGGCATCCCATCAGAGATCGTCTGTGATAATGGGTCACAATTCATCAGTTCAAGAACAAAGCGATTCTGTGAATCATACAACATCAAACTGGTGATGTCGACGCCAAGGTATCCATAATCAAACGCACAGGCCGAATCAAGCAATAAGATCATAGTGGCAAATCTAAAGAAGAGGCTTGAAAAGGCACAAGGAAAGTGGGTCGAAGAGTTACCCCTGATTTTATGGGCAGACAGGACGACACCAAAACATGCAACGGGTCAGACGCCTTTCTCCCTGGTATATGGCTGCGAGGCGGTCATCCCAACCGAAGTAGAAGTCCCATCATCAAGATACAGGCTCGTAACAGAAGAGAGGAACAATGTGGAGTTAGTGCACGATCTCGACACCATCGACGAGTTAAGGGAAAAAGCAAGGATACAAATGGCTACATATCAACAAAGGGTGGTAAAGAGTTACAACAAACATGTCCGAGCCAGAGTATTGAAGAAAGGCGATTGGGTGCTCAGGAAGTCGTTCGGCAACGAAGCAAGTGGCAAGTTCAGTCCCAATCGGGAAGGTCCATATCATATCGTTGACATAGTCGGACAGGGGGCATATCATCTAGAATCCGCCGACGGTAAGCAAATCCCAAGGAGTTGGAATGCGGTACACCTGAAACCTTTTCACTTTTAATTACGCTTTACGTAATTATAATCATTCTTATTACTTTACTAATTTGACCTTCGAAGGGCCGTTGGCCTCAAGCCAACGGCCGAATTAGCCCAAAAACAGGTGTCGACCACAAATATTATACCAAGGAAGTGAAGTATTACACGTATTTCCCAAACAAGAAGCCTGCAGTCAATAGCTTTCGAAGCCAGGTACTTTCCTAAATTTGCTTAAACTCCTATGTCGTCTGATTAGCAGCCAGCTCTCTAAGATCGAAGCAATTTTTTCATTTTGTGAACATCATTTACTTTTTAAATACTTAATTTACTAACTTAAGCATCGGAGGGCCGTTGGCCAAAATCCAACGGCCAAACTCTGACAACATGACTTCATGCAGGGTGTCGACGCGGTAAACACATTGACGAATACTGCTATATACTCTAAACGCGCCAACAGAAGGCACCTACATATAGCTCCTGACAACGTAAAAAGGGAGTCAGTAAGGTCAGTATGGGCCATTCATATAAAAAGTATGAAAGACAAACCCACACGCCTTACACGTTTTGGCCAAAACGACAGATATATATACGAAACAAACGACAGTCGACACACAAAACAATGAACGTTCACACAAAAATAACATCGTTCAAAACCACTGGATGTGAATGTCAAAATACTGACATATGAAATGACCACATCACCAAAAGCACGAGTCAATAACGAAAACAAGGCCACCGAACACGGGATAAACCACCCATCGCTGTGGCCCAAAATGTTATGTGACCACCGAACACGGGATAAACCTATTGAAGGAAATAAATAATTGACATTTAAGACATAATATTACATTTAGTCGTTACATATCTCTATCATTATTATTGTATTATTACCTACCTTATAGACTTGATTAGTGATTGTATAAATAGCACCTATTGTAAACCCTTTTGATCATCATTGAATATATGAAAATAATTTGCTCCTCTCTTCTCTATTATGATATCAGAGCCTCTGAGCTATAACCACCCCCTTTCCTCTTCCCTATGACAATAAACGACAGCCAGCCCGAGGTTCTCCTCCAGGAAGGAAACCTAGACAACATCCCTACCAGTACACCTATCCCTTCAAATACCCCTTCAACCTCAGTTGCAACACCTCTCACCCCAGATGGATTAATCCTGTTAAATCCCAGTCACTTCCCAGAAAAACTTGATGGTTCAAATTACCTGGTATGGCGGGATCAGATTCTGGATCTTCTTTTTGGGTCGCATCTTGATCAGTTTATATCTGATGATGCTACCCCACCACCGACGAGTGATGTTCATGGCCATCTCTGGTGGACTAGGCAAGACCAGCTTATCCGACATGCCCTCGTAGACTCCCTGAATTCAACCTGTAAACCTTTGATTGGGTCTGCTCGCACATCTGCCGCAGTTTGGAAGACTCTAGAGGAACTCTATGGGACTCGTTCTCCATCCCAAATCCGCAACATGAAGGACACCTTCCGCCACTACCGACAAGGCTCTCAACAAGTGGGAGCATATCTCCATCACCTGCGCACGCTCGCCAATGAGTTGGCTCAGGCCGGCCGGCCTGTTGATGAAGAAGACTTCGTCGTTCAAGCACTGGAGGGACTCCGACCTGAGTTCGCATCATTTGCTAACTCCATTCGTACCTGCAGCGACCACAACTTTAAGACGATCCATACACTGCTCCCTGGCTTCGAAGACTCCTTGAAGCGGAAAGAAGAAGTTAATTCCTCTGTCGCTGTGGTGATGGCTAATAACGTGAGTACAGGGGAGTCGGCAGCACTTGTGGCTCACAGAGATTCAGTCCCGTCCATTTTGGGCCCTGGACCATCGGCCCAATTTCAACAGCAACCCAATCTGGTTAATTATTCAGCCCGCAATACTAATCGGAATCAACCCAGAAACCAGCGACCCAATACTAATTACAATCCCAACCGACGTTGCAATAACAATTCTGGGATCCTACACGCAATCAGGCAGCCCGCAACAGTTCGGGGATTGGTAATTTCGGGCCCAATGTTACATGTCAAATTTGTGGGAAACCGAACCATTCTGCTATCAATTGTTGGCATCATTTGAACAACAAGCTTATCCTCCCCAAGTTAATACAGCTGTCACTTGTCACAATGGCTGGCTACTTGATTCTGGAGTGACCAATCACGTCACCAATAACCTGAATAATCTTACCTTGGCATCCGATTATACTGGCACTGATTCTCTTGTTATTGGTAACGGTAAAGGTCTTGCGATAGCACAAGTCGGGCATATGACCCTTCACTCTCTTTCCCTACCTAATACTCTTTTTGTTCCTTCTATTCATACCAATTTAATTTCTGTCGCCAAATTATGTCGTGATAATGACGTACTAATTGAATTTCATTCTTCTTTTTATCTTATTAAGGATCAGCGAACGGGAGCAATTTTGTTACGGGGTATGAATAAAGGAGACGTCTACAGCTTGCCAGATGTACCCCCTCCATCATCTCCATCCGTTCACATCACAAAAAAAACTTCCCTTAATAATTGGCATTGTCGTTTAGGACATCCTGCCCTCCCTATCACAAAAAAAAAACTCTCTTCCTTAGGTATATTTTTTTTCTAATGTTACTACAAATAATTCTTTATGTGTCTCGTGTGATAGTAATAAAAGCCATAAGCTACCATTTGCAAAATCATCTCTTACGAGCTCTGGACCTTTAGATTTAATATATACAGATGTTTGGGGTCTCGCTCATGTTAATTCTGTTGATGGCTTTCGTTACTATGTTATTTTCGTCGATCATTATACCAAATATATTTGGTTTTATCCTATGGCTCATAAATGCGAGGTCACTCCACTCTTTCAGCAGTTTAAAAAGATTGTTGAAAACTTTTTTCAACGCTCAATTTTAACAGTTTATTCTGATGGGGGAGGCGAATACATAACCTTAGGGAAATTCCTAAGCACATGTGATATTTCTCATTTATTTACTCCCCCTACACTCCAGAATACAATGGCTTTGTTGAATGTCGGCATCGTCACATTGTGGAAACTAGTATCACCCTACTTCATCATGCGTCCATACCTCTTAAATATTGGTCCTATGCCTTTCTTACAGCTGTGTACCTTATTAATAGACAACCTGCTCTCTCTCTTAATTTCTGCACTCCATATGAAAAACTCTTCCAACAACCTCCTAATTATAATAAACTTGTTGTTTTTGGGTGTCAGTGTTTTCCTTGGTTACGTCCTTATACCACTCATAAATTGGAACCACGCTCTAAATCATGCGTTTTCTTGGGGTATTGTGACCAACAAAGTGCATATCGCTGTCTTGATCTTACCACTAACTGGATCTTCATCAGTAGACATGTTGTGTTTGACGAGACAATCTTCCCCTTTTCTACATCCCCATCACCAGTCTCAAATATCACTTCTGAAGTTGATCATTGGCTTCAACCTTCCATGTCTTATCTTCCTATTTCAGGTACTCTGGTCACGGGGGCGTCTTCTCCTACTCATACCTCGACTCAACAACTGACTCCCGGTAAGTCACCTAATACCTCCACCCAAAGTGATATCCCAACTTCTCCCCGTCCTCAACCCACACCGCCACAAATCATTACTTACCACCGCCGACCCAAACCCAATCCCCCTATACCCACCCCTCATCCACCCAACACCACTGATCTCACTACCTCAACCCCACACCTCGATAATTCCCCACCCAAACGTACTCATCCAATGACCCTTCGACCCCATACACAAGCCAATATTGCTACTAATATTCCCCTACCTCACCATGTTATTCCCACTTGTGCTTCTCAAGCTATGCAGGTACCAGAATGGCGGAGTGCTATGTCAGTAGAATTTGATGCCTTAGTTCGACAGGGTACTTGGGATCTTGTTCCACCTCGGCCTAGCCAGAATATTGTAGGTTGTAAATGGCTATATACAGTGAAGTATAAGCCGGATGGTTCATTGGATCGTTACAAGGCTCGACTCATCGCTAAGGGTTTTCATCAGCGCCCTGGGATTGATTATTCTGATACTTTTAGTCCGTTCATAAAACTGGTCACTATTCACATTGTCTTTACTATTTCTCTCTCTCATGATTGGCCAGTACATCAGTTAGATGTCAACAACGCCTTCCTACATGGGACTCTTCATGAGGAAGTCTACATGAAGCAACCACCTGGTTTTAATGATGGATCTGGGTTTGTGTGTTGTCTTCGCAAATCCATTTATGGCCTTAAGCAAGTGCCTCGGGTATGGTATCAGGCTCTTAGTGGGTTCCTTCTCTCACTTGGATTTCATCAGTTTGTTGCCGATGCTAGTCTGTTCATATTTTCCTGCCATCCATCTTATATATATGTGTTAGTCTATGTGGATGACATCATTGTTACTGGTTCTACACCGGACTTGATACGCCAGACTATTGACTCATTGGCCCGCAAGTTTTCTATCAAGGATTTAGGAGCCTTACACTATTTCTTGGGCATGCAGGTTACTCCTACACAAGGTGGACTCTTTCTTGATCAAAATAAATACATTATGGACTTATTAAAGATTTTAAAAATGGATGAAGCTAATCATGTGGCTACACCGTTAGCTTCCTCTGCCTCCCTAACTCTGTTTGACAGTTCGGGCTCGTGTGATGCCACTCTCCATCGACAGGTCCTCGGGTCTCTTCAATATTTGAATCTTACTCACCCACATGCTGCCTTTACTATTAACAAATTGGCCCAATTTATGCAAAAACCTACGGTTAATCACTGGCAACTTCTCAAACGTCTCTTGCGATATTTGCAGGGCACTGCCTCTCATGGCCTCTATCTTTGTCGCAGCACCTCCCCCTCTCTCTGTGCCTTTGCTGATGCTGATTGGGCAGGGAACCCTGATGACCGTTCCTCTACCAGCGCATATGCCATCTTTCTCGGTGAATCTCTCATATCTTGGATATCTGTTAAGCAACGCACTATTGCTAAGTCTTCCACGGAAGAAGAATATCGAGCTCTTTCCACCGCTGCCTCTGAAATTATTTGGATCGAATCTCTCTTGCACGAGTTGCGGCACCCACTCCTTTATCCTCCACTCCTCCTTTGTGATAACAAAGATGCTACTACATCTTCCGTCAATCCTGTCTTCCACTCCCGCATGAAACATGAAGCTATTGATTTTCATTTTGTTCGGCAGCAGGTTCAACGTGGTCTTCTTCAGGTGCATCATATTCCATCTTCTGCTCAGATAGCTGACGCCCTCGCCAAAACACTTCCTCGACAACGCTTTATCCTTCTTAGAGACTAGCTCAGGATTCTTGGAAGTGACAGAATACTTGGCTTGTGGGGGTGTATTGAAGGAAATAAATAATTGACATTTAAGACATAATATTGCATTTAGCCGTTACATATCTCTATCATTATTATTGTATTATTACCTACCTTATAGACTTGATTAGTGATTGTATAAATAAAACATATTGTAAACCCTTTTGATCATCATTGCATATATGAAAATCATTTGCTCCTCTCTTCTCTATTAAAACCACCTGTCGATGTGGCCCGAAACATAATCTATGTCAAGTAAAAAGCAGGCTAGCAAAAGGAAGGTGTCCACACGCAAGAAAAGCAAATAATAACGAGGTCATATCTGGTTGGGAAGGCCAGAATCAGCTTCGGCATTGCAGGTGCCCAGATCGAATCCATCATCACCTACAGGAGGGTCGGAGCCTTCGAAATACATTTCCCAAGTATCGATGTCAGCCTGTGGATCCCATTTGTCAGTTTCGCCAACAAGGAAAGATTTCATGATGTCTTTCTTGGTTTGCCAGGCGTAAAACTCTACTGTATCAATGACTTCTTGCCTTTTCCTCCTTCCATAGTCCTCTAGGGACTTGATTCTAGCAGCTTGGACCTCCAACTTCGCATCCAGGACCTTTATCTCGTCATTCAGCCGATTGACAACTTCCTCTTGAGCAAGGATTTTCTCATCCAACTTCAACTTCGTCTGATTTAACTCAGATAACTTCTTTTCCGCGGCCTCTTCATTCTGTTTAGAAATAGCCTGTGACCCCTCCAGATCGTGGATGCGTTCTTCAGCGGCCAAAGAGACTTGCATTCCCTAAAAAGAGCCATACAGGTAAGCGATTGAATGAAAGACCCGAAACACGAGATGGGTATAATAGTCGAACCTGAAATAAAAGTGCAGACGAAGCTGAAAGCATATCAGTGAGGGTAACGCCCGAGAATGCAGCCTGAGTTGAAGGCAACAACAGCGGAGATATTTCCTTTCTTATTTCCAAGACCTTGTCCAAGCAATGAAGGTCGCCAGAAAAATTGGCATTCAACTCAGCTGGGGGCACAGTCCGGGCGCTGATCATCATAGGTTCAGAAGGATTAGGTAAGGGGCAAGCATCCACATGTTTTATTTTAATAACCGGAGAAAGAGGGGGAGTCACTTTCTTCCTTTTTAATGATAAACGAGTGGGATCAAGAGGATTCAAAGGCTTGCGAGTGCTAGTTGAAGAAGAAGCAGCTGAACAGAATTTAAAGCGTGTAAAAATACAAGGGGCCGAAATTGCAGTTACATAAAAATAATAACGGGAGAGGATGGATTACCCGCAGCAGTAGATGGCAAGGCTGAGATGGGATTAACCAAGGAAACCGAAAGGCAACCTTCTGGAGCTCGCTGCATGCCCGTCTCTTCGTCTAGACTGACAACATCATCCTCCTTGTCAGAACCTTCAACTGAAATGGAGGACCCATCTTTGGATAGGCTAGACAACTTAGACAAATATCTGACAGAATGGCGTACGCCTACACGAAGAGGGGTAAACACATGAGTTTCTTCATCCGTACCTTTGATTTCAGTAACTAGTGCCGAGTACAAACGCGCTTCGGTCCCAAGATCCAAGAGAAGGACGGTTTGTTCTTCCGCTTGAGGGCCAAATTCAAGAGGAATGGTTTTCTGATCCTCACCTGTCAAGCACAAATAATATATAAAAAAAACAACAAAGAAGAAGGGGAGTTTCTGTTAAACAACAGGCGAACAAGGTTCACAAGGGGGGTAAAAGCTCAGAACTCACCGGCGGTTCTCCAGTTGTCGGTCAAGAATCCTCCGCTCTCGCCAAGGGAAGATCTCTCTACGAAGAAAAATTTGGTCATCCACCCTCTGTCATTTGCATTGCTTATTCCAAGGATTAGTGGGTCTCTGCCAGATTTTACTATGAGTATGAATCGACCTTTTCCTGAGGTGCGCAGATCGTAGGTATAACCCAAATCATGTGCGGAGAATTTTAAGCCATACTTCTCTATTAAGACTTCCAAAGAGCGGATAAGTCTCCAAGTTTGCGGCATTATCTGAGCTGGAGAAACCCTAGCTACGGTCAGGAATCCAGACACGAAGTCGGAGAACGGAAATCACAGTCCCAATTTTTTGAAAGGGTATTTGGAAGAAACTAATACATCCTGCACAATACCAATCGACTCTCTCGGAGTGACGAGGGAACCGAATCTTGGCTGAATCAGGGAGGCCATAGGAGTTCTTGATGTCGTCTCTTTCTTGTTCCGTCAGCTCGCACGCTCTGGTGTTCTTGGCCTCCAAAGTTTTCTTGTTCACAAAAACAACGCTATCCATGATAGCGACAGGATGAGCGAGTGAAGAAGCCCACAGAAGGAAGTAGAGAAAGATGGTTTCGAATGAAGGCAAAAAGACTCATTGTAGAATTCAAGAGAAGAAGAAGAGCAATTCGGTCAGGACAGAAGGAGTTTGCGTGGCTCGATATGAAATATAAACCAAGCGTTTAAATTCATAATGAAGAATACTCGTTTTGCGCGCCTACTTCATCATGAATTGGGGGCAAAATGTTGGACCAAAAATAATATGGGTCGATATTTTATTTGTTCGATAGTAGAAGGTCCGACAACAATCAAGGGAGGCCCATGTATACAGCAAGGATGAGATTGAGTTTAAATCAAATTGAAACGTGCGAGGTCAAAGAAAGGAGAAGGATAAGAGCAGGCGGTTGCACGTGGAGAGAAAATAGGGTTGAGGCGCAAGACTTGGGGAGGAAGTAGGATTTTATTTAATAAATAGGCTATGCTCCCATCGAGGTAGCACACGATCATTTTGGTCAAATCTACCAATCACTCTCACTATACTCTTGTAATCAAGTTCTTAGTCACATATGAAATATCAATAGAAATTATCCATATTTTCATTTCTCAATTATTCCCTTGTCGATCCATATTTGTTCGATTCCCATTTCATTTTAATATTAGTTTATTTTTAGCATAAACAATCTCCCACTCCAGGAGCCCCACCCGACCCGACAGGATGGTGGGGAGGTTAGTTATGGTGACTTAGTCAGCAGAATGGCAGTAGACCCATAAACCCGTGCGCACCAGAGGTGCAGCCTTATTTCAGGTTCTGTGACCTCCACCCGGTCGCAACGGAGCTTCGAACCTTGGTCCAATCCAAATCTCCCACCACTTGATCAACTGAGCTACCCATATGGGTATTTTTAGTCGCTTTTATACTTTTATTAACCGACGAGTATTTCTCCGTATTAGCCATTACGTAGTACGAAGTATTTTATACGGATAGTATTCTACAAGTGAAAGAAAAGCATACGGATTTATTTATGCTTCTGTCTTGTTTTCAGTTCTTTTTACGTAGAAGTTATACAAGACCAAAAATATCATACGATCAAAAAAAGGAAAAATTACCGGAATAATCCCAACTATTAACGGTCTTCCAATATTAATCCTAAATATGCATAATTCTAAAATAATCTGAACTATAATAAGCCTCTTCTCAGAATAAGCCTCTTCTCAAAATGACCTGCCTAAACCTATTCGGCAGGTAACTCGGACACGTGGCCAATATTTATTGTTTTCTTCCTTTTCCCATTTTTGTTTTCTTTGCTTTTTTTCTTTTTGTTTCAATTTTTCTTTCGTCTTCCTTTTCTTTCCTTTAAGCTAAACCAAGCGAACCAGAGAACCAGGTGAGTAGGGACGTTAGAGGTCACGTGACCTTTCCTTGTTCCAACGTCGCCACCCAAGTCAGCTAAGCACCTGTCGGCTGTCTGTCCCAGGAAGTACCGATGTCCTTGCATCTTATGAGTTCTTCATCACCATCTATGATATATCCATCCATTTTAGTTGTTTCAACATCAGCCCTCCGTCGTTCCCAGCTGTTTATCGTCACCGGGTGCCTGGTCATATCAACTGCCTTAGTCCCCATATTTGGCCTTCTGTCATTCAGTTTTGGTCATGGAACCTGATGAATTAATGTCAAATTAGATTTTGGATTGATAAAATCAAATCTTTCAGATGTGAGATTGAAAGAGTCACATAAAAATTTGAGGAGCAAATTAGAGAATGAAGTTGAAGGTGAGGTGAAATCCATGTGGGTGATGTGGGTGGAGGGAGAAAAGAAAGAACAATTAAAGGACAAGTCACGGAAGAAGGAAACAATGAACCTGGAAAAATGGTGAAGATGAATAGCCTGGGGCCAATTTATTTTTCTTTTAATTTTTTTACCGGTTGTCTAAGTTGCGGGTAACTTGGATCAATTAGGGAAGGTTGTCTATCAACTTGGATAAAGTGTTTTCCTATTTTTAATACAATGTTATTTCTTCTTTGCTAACACATAAAATATAGTTATTTAAAAAAACATAAATTATACTCCCCCCTATAATTGTCCCATTTTTTCATTTTTTGATGTCATTCTATTAATGTCTCATACAATATTTGGTAACACTTGTGTGACCTTAATTCATTCTCACTTTATTCTCACTTTGTCAACTCGTTATCAACCACATATAACTACTTTTCTTAGAAATCACACCACTATCTTCCGTCACAATATTAGGGGGACGGAGGGAGTAGTTTGTAAATGATGTTAATGTAAATGTAAATGTAACTTGATGCAAGTCGAAATATAAATGACGTTGATGAAAATGTAACTTGAGACAAATCAAAATGTAAATCGTGAAAATGAAATTTGAGAAAGTCTAAATGTAAGATGTCTAATATAAAATATACCTTGAAGGAATCTTGCAAGTCTTCAAATACATTTTTTTGGTGTACCTTCTCGTACACGCGCACACACATAGTATGTACCTATTTTGTTAAATGTCAGCATCATTAACTGGGATGTGTTTTGAACATGTGACATCTTCCCTTAGAGTGTCATAGTGATGTCATCAAACCATAACGTGCTTACCATATAAACTTTCATTTTAAATTAACAAAACTTTAAGCTAATCATATGCTCAATTAGATTAAAGTTTTATTCAATAGAATAAGGTAATCATATGCTCAATTAGATTAAAATATGATATTCCTTATGTCCATGGGTTAATTGAAATCTATATTAAAAATAGGTTAAAAATTGTCGGATAACCACTCAAATAGCTTCTACTTTGAAATTAGAATACAAATAAGCTAATTCTTTGATTAGTGCATTATAATTGTCAAGACCGGAAAAAACTCCATCATTTTTAACATTCTGTGAAAGATCCCCCAAAATACGTTTTATTCCCTCGGTGATATTGAAGATTGATCTTAAGGAAGACGATACTTACAACTTAGTGAGAGCTAATGGAAAAATTTATGAATTCACATAATAATCCAAAGGGAGAATTTCCTAAATAGGAGTAAAAAAGTTTTGAAATTCCAAAATAGAACTATCATGTTTTTTATTCCTTGAACAGGAGTAAAGTTCTGCCAAGTTTGGCATTACTATGCTTTAAAATTAAACATGTCATTTTTTTCAAACTTGGTAGATTACTCTTATTCAGAGAATAACATGATACTCCTATTTTGGAATTTCAAAACGTTTTTTATCCTATTTAGAACAATTTCTATAATCCAAACTATTGACGAAATATTTGGTTAAAATATATTCATGGTTTACAAATACTAATATCAATTGCTTCTGTATGTTGTTTCGATTTTCTCTTGTCTTACATATTATCTTTATCTTTATAAAATATAAAGGAATTGGGTGGACAATTGGATTTCTCCAATTACTCCCGCCTATTCCCTCATTGAATCTGTAAGGAATAAATGTATTGCGGGTGTTTGGCAATTGGCTGTTGGCTGTTAGATGTTAGCCGATTGGGTCGGCCGATTGATGACAACGTTTTCCGTTGGCTGTTTTGATTGGCTGATATTATTAGCATTTTGTAAATTAGTGTTTGGTAAGAATGATTGTTTATGCTCAGCCGATAACTTGTCAGATGACTTTTAAGGACATTAATTAATTTTTTTCATTTACTTTATGTATCATACATTTTGTTATGTTATTAGTACGTACAATTACTTAAAACATTTAAATGATTTAAAAAATAAAAAGCTTAATTACACAAGTAATAATTCTTTTAAACAATTTTTCATGTGTTAATAAATTTTTCAAGAGTTTGACCAACAATTTCAACAGTTTAGAGTTTTACACTTTTACCAATGACATGCACTTCTACAACTTTGTTCACTTCAAAATACTACGGGTATAATAGATGATGGTTTCTAGTAATTTATTCAATTGGTGATTTGATGCTTCTTTGATGAGAAGAAGTGTGCGAGTCAGATTGAAGAAAATGGATGCGGGAAATCTTGGAATTATTACGAAGAAACCCGAACGGCCATTCTTAAACGCTACCTTTGTAGGCGTTTTCCATTTTGGCTGTTTGGGTCTAAAAGCCAAATCAAAATGCCATTTTATCAAACACACATGTTGGCTGTTTGATCTGGTCAAAACATCAATAATAGTCAAATCAGCCAAAAATGGCTGAAAAGCTCATAACCAAACACCCCCATTTAGATTTTGATGATGCTAGATTAATTAGAACTTTAGAATACCCCCAATTAGAAAATTGTATTAGATTTTTTTCTAATGGTAAGCATTAGACTAGTTGACTAGACAGAAGACCTTCAAGCTCTCTAGTGAACTCTCTGGACATAAGTGCTCAAGGTTCTATGTGATTACTCTTCAGTGAGGCACTACCTAAGCCGGTAAAACCAACGGAAGATTCCATCAATGGTTAGGAAACTTCAACGGAAAGCCAACAGTACAAGCATTTAATGCTCATTTAATGAGCTCTATACGTTGTAGAGTTAAAGCTGATGATTGGCCGAGATTCCAGGAGAATATTATCCCGAAATAGCAACTCGCCACTTTGTGGGTCCTACCGGTCAACTCTAAAGTACGTACATTTAATGCAGTTGTCTCCTCCTCCAACGGGTAGGCAACCCTAGTATATATGATACACTTTGAATAATAGCCAAATAACTTTTGCTCATTCTACATCATTCAAAAAGCCTTCTTGAGATAAAAACTTCATCTTCCTCAACAAGAAAAGGCTAACGTTGGAAAGATATTATTTTCATATTCTTTTTCCAACAAGAGCAAAGTTCCTCCAGTTCTTCAACACTTCAAGCACATCAACTACACATCTTTTGTGATGAAGCAAGTTGGAGAAAACCTCTTGATCTTAGAACAATCTTCTTTCACAAGAAGGGCGTCCAAGTAACTGGAGTAGTGAAATGGGAATACTTTAAGTAAGCCCAGTTAAAGGATCAGTCTTAAAGGAAGCAAAGAAGTGCATCCCAGGAGACATCTACACTTAAAGAAGACGTGAAGAGCTTCTTAAGTGCTAGGAATTAAGCGTTGTAACTGCTATTTACAAGCTTAGTGGAAAAGTGAACTAGAGAAACAAATTGTTCCTTGAACCACTATAAAAATCTCTGGTGTCACCATACTTACTGCTTTAATACTTGCACTTTAGTTTAACTGCTTAACTCCTAAGATTTGGTTTCTGTGTTCAGCAAAACTTGTCTCGTGAGTTAACAGAAGGTCTAGGACCTTTGCTTCTCTGAGAGGCTAAACCGGACATAACCCCTATCGGAATACCTCTGTTGCCAGTCTGTTCTGTCAACAGAACAAGCTATTCTGTAAACCTTGGGACTTAGCTTGAAAAAGTTAAAAACCATGACAGTCTATTCGCCCCCCTCTAGACTGTTACCTCTTAAACCGGGACCAACAAGTGC